AAAGCGAAGCGAGGCAGAACCAGTGCACGACGCCAGGCTGGGCTGGGCCAATGCGAAAGCACGCACGACGGGAGGCTGGCTGGGTCGGCTTCGGTCGTGGGCCGGAAACGAGGCGGCGGCCCGCGACTGAGAAAAGCCCTTTTCCATTTTTATTTTCAAGAACTTTTTAAATGCCAGCTTTCAAATATTATTTTGAGCAAGGAAATGACTTCTTTTGAAAATGGCCCAAAAATAAAAGTTGCTTAGAATTTAGTACTCTACAACTTTGCTTTAGGGACCAACTAAAAGTTTTGCATAGATTTTGAATTGGGAAGCAAAAGCTAAATAGAGAGGATTTTTTTTACCCTTTTCCCATAATAATTTCAAAAGCATATTTTGTCAAAAGTTGGAATACAAACTTTGCTCCAAAAATTATGCTAAATAATTCTAGATGATTTACAATCATAACCAAACAAGTTCTACTAACCTAGCAAGCAAAATCAGGGCAAAACAACTCTTAAACAGGTGTATTCAACATTCAGGTTACACAACATGTTTCATATGTTTCGAAGTAGTGTTTCAGTTGTTATTTACATGATTAGGCATGTATGATTAGGATGCTTTATGATGCATGTTATGCATGATTTGCAGTGCCTAAATGCTGGTATAACACCGTGGTGTTACAATATGCTATCCAATAATTATAATTTTGAGAGAATTACTTCAATGACTCTAAAAAAGGTCGTGCTTACTTTTTTTTTGAGAAAGTCGTGCTTACTTTCTTGGGCCTTTATGTTTTGAACTTCCATATTTGGGCCCAAAATGAAATTTGGTTCCTTTCTTGGCCCTTCCATTAGTTTGAGGCTCTAACGATGTTAACTTGTACGAAAAATTACCATTTTACCCTAGCGCCGAAGGCAAAAGTACAACCACCTCATGTGCAACAGTACAACCATACATGCCTTTCATGCTACCTACTATTAAGAATTTCCCAAAATAAGGTAAAATATTTTTTTAAGCATGGAATTATTTTTACAAGAATTTCCAAAAAAAATGTGGCTCTAGAGACCTCTTGAAAGAGACGATGCATGGATGGATAGCAGGATCAGCATAGTACTCGCAGTCATGGCAGTCGGCGATGACGGCGCTCACCCGGACACCGTTGTCGCCTTTCTCCTCGTATGCGTTGATGAAGTGAAATGCCACAGAAGGTCACATTTAGGTCTTTTTTTTTTTGCTCCGAAAGACTGGTTCACTGTAGAACCTAATGGATTAGACGGAAGGGCCAAGAAAGAAACCGAATTTTGTTTTGGGGCCAAATAGAGAAGTTCAAAACAGAAAGGACCAATGAAGTAAGTCCAACCTTTTTAAGGGCCAAGGAAGTAATAATTTTCTCTATAATTTTATAACCATAAACAATATAATAAATGAATGGTCACAATGTCATTTGGGAGAACGTACTATGTCAGACTACGCCTTAGTAGATGAGAAGGAGTATTATTTGATTGGGGTCGGTTGACCACTAACAAAGGTCGGGCTCAACCCCTGCTCTACTCCCTCTGATTTTTTATAGGGCCTATTATTAGGTTGAAAAAGATTAAATTTATATGACTAATAATTTATCAAATTTATGTGCATGATTTAACGTACAAATGTAGCCAAGTTGAAATCCTTGACTTAGCACGATTGCTCCCATTCTTTTGGTTTTATTCCACTATTTGCTAGGTTAGTCCCTCTTAGGTGCTCGAAGTGGTGGATGACGTGCGTTTTCGTAGGAGTGACTATGCAAGCGTGACGTTTTCATCAGCGCACACACGCTATACAGATACAGATATAAATACAGATAAGATATAGAAACGACAGATACAGATACAGATATACATATAGATATAAATATAAATATAGAGATAGAGATAGAGATAGAGATAGAGAGGGGCATGCGTTACGGTAACACATGAGATGATCTCTAACAAATTTACAATGTTAGAAAAGCCTTTACATGACCCAAAGCTCGACATAGAATAAGACTTTGTCAAAAAGGTACCATTTTTAGTAGTCTTAACTGTTCGTCTAAACGGTCGTTTAGCCCGTTTAAACACCGTGTAAACGCTACACGGTGGTGCGCCGTTTCTATTTAATCACCCGTTTACCCCGTTTAATTGGCCGTTTAGCCCGTTTAATGGGACGTTTTGCCCGAATAATGGCTAAACGGTAGGTGACCGACTATTTACCGTTTAGCGTTTAGGAAAACACTAGTCTTAAGTCAACAAATCAACTGGTTCGAATTCTGACTATTTTTTTACTATATAAGTCTATAAAGATGAAATTGTAGACTTTTATGACACTTTTGAAATAAATACTCACATAACTTTCAAATACCAAACCTAACATGAAAATGGTAATGTATAGTCATTAGTCAAAGTTTCAAGTAGTTAACTTTGGATAATCCTAAAACATCACTAATTTCTAAATGGAGTAAGTATGCATATTTACTATGCAAGTGGTTTGATCGATTGGTGTTTAGAGTTGTATGCATATTTATAGTTGCTACTTGTTGAACTCTTGTGTTTTCAATGGCTATCTGCAACTTGCAACGGTCAAATGACGACGGCACAGAAAATACTATCACGTTTATAGTATCAGGTGCAAAAGCAAGCACCCCCAACTAAGAAGGTGGTTCCTAGCACCCAAGCTCCAATGTGAAGCAACCTTGAAATCATACCTGCCGCTGGATATTCAATCCCCATATTCAAATCCACACCCGCATTAATTGGGGAGGGTATGGGTAGAAATAAAATACCCATTTTGATTTGGGTGTGGGTAGGATAATATCCACCTTATTCATTCAGTATTCATTTAGCCGTGCATGTACTCCACCTTCAGGCACGTGCAAACTCCCACTCAGAGGTGTTTAGTTGGTGAGGTGAAATTTTTCTAGGTGTCACATCGGATGTGTCGGAAGAATGTCGAGAGGGGTTTTTAGATACTAATAAAAAAACAAATTACAGAACCCATTAGAAAACTGCGAGACGAATCTAATGATACTAATTAATCAGGCATTAGCACATGTGGTACTGTAGCACTTAAGGTTTTTCATGGACTAATTAGGCTTAAAAGATTCGTCTCGCGATTTCTAACCAAACTGTGCAATTAGTTTTTTTTCGTCTATATTTAATGCTTCATGCATGTGCCGTAAGATTCGATGTGACATTTTAGATTGAAATTTTTTTAACTAAACAGGGCCTCATTATGCACCGCGCTAATGCCCTGCTGCTGCTAATGCTTGTGCTACTTCCCTCTCTTATCCGTTGGGTATTCAAAATCCATCGGGTATTATCCACTTTAGTACGCATGGGTATGGACAATAGGCGGGTGTGGGCATGGATGCCCGGTACCCTCACCAACGGCAGCTATACTTGGAATCAATCTCTCACAAATTGCACTACCTAGAAACAAACATTGTAGCTGCTCTTACCCGTGGAGGAATTTGTTAAGATGGAGCCCAAAGTAGGGCAAGCATATATGACTGGGCACACTAAACTTCTAAGGATCAGGATTCTAGATAGGGTCGTTTTTTGCCTGACAACATCAGATCATGATATCATAATCCTATCAGATTATACAAAATATATACTTATATATAACATTTGTAATATGTTGTAAAGGTTGTGAAGCCTATAATATCAATTTTGATTAATTTCATGAATTTTGGTAGGTGGACTTATTCACATTATTCTCAATCCACCTTAACTTTAAATCGTTTAAATAGTAATTCATATCAATTGCTACGTAGGATCTAGGATCATGATCTTATTATGTTAGACGTATAGAGCTTTCGTGTAGGGTCGAAATATTTTAGGATATATGATATCGTTTCTACGCACATAAAAAGGTGAGGTTCTTTTTTTCTTCACATCTACTGACTAACAATGAAGAAAGGGCTTTCGACGTCGATGCCAAACTGTGTTTTCCCCGGTAGGATGCCCATGGAGAACTTTGCGATTGTGAGAAAAACAATCACGTCAATCTCTAGTTCAAACAATCTCGTAGTTTAACCAAACATTGAGCATGACCCAAGATTTCTAGACTTACTACCACTCCTTTATTGCTTGATATGCAAATCTTTGGACGTATTAATAACTGAGACTTATTATTCTGCCAAATCACAGATTGAATAATGATGGTTGCTCAAATCTTAGAGTAATAATACAACTGTACTCCACGTCACTAGTAGTCAATTAAACATTGCCGATTCCATCCCTTCCATGTTTGGAAGCATTAGAGGACTACTACTAACTATTATCTGGACTAAAAAAATGGCCTGCTAAATTCTAATTCTGCAACTCTCTCATCATCAAATCAAAAATGAAAATTCGAATTCTGCAATTCTCTGCGGTCAACAACAGTCTACAGCGCCATGAAACAATCCATCCACCTGCCAGTTCTGCCGGTCGCGCGAAGGCCGGGAACCAACGGGCAGCGCACAGCACCCTGTATAGTTTCCCGCGGTCCCTTCCGCCGTCCCCAGGCCATCGGACGGCCCACAGCAGCCGCGGGGGCACCCGATGCTTTGCATTGCGGCGCGCTCCCCTCGCCCTTGCGGCTGCCGCTCGCTCCGCGACGCGCCGAAAGGGAAAAAACAGCCGTTACTACCGCACTCCCCGCTGGGTGTCTCTGGTGGCTCTGGCCTGCGCGCCGCCGCGCGGCTGGCTCCACGCCACCCTTCTCTGGGCTGGAGGAGAGCCCCGGAAACGGACGCCGACGCGCGGCAAGCGCCCCCTCGCCGCCTTCCGGAGCCTTCCGCGCCTTCCGTTACTACTCCGGGGCCATCATAAGGGGCGAGGTCGAGAGGGGCGCCCGTCGATCCCTAAATCCCTTCCCCCACCCATTCCTCTCCTCACCGCGGGCGGCGGCGGCGGCTCGCGCTTGCGGGGCCGGGTATATAAGGCTGCTGCTGTGCTCGACGAGGATCCGCTGAAGCGGGGTTGGACTCTGAGAGTCCGACCGAGCTTCCTCCGGGGATGGAGGTGCCCAAGGCGGTGGCGCTTGTGGCCGCCCTGGCGTTCGTGGCGCTGGGAGCGCTGGCCACCAGGTGGCTGCAGCGCATGGAGGCGCGGAATGAGGAGGTACGCCGCCTCGCGTTGCTCGCGGCGGCGGAAGAGGAGACCATCGAGAAGGAGGCGGCGGCCTACTACTATGGCCAGTACGGCGGGTTCGTGCGCGCGCCCGACTTGCCGGAGGTACCTTCGCTGTGGACGACGGCGCAGGGGGTGGCCCCTGCGCCGCTGTGGACGACGCAGGCGCAGGAGGTGGAGGCTGAGGCGGCGGTTGCGGCCTCCCCTCCGGTGGGGAAGGGCGTCTGTGCGATGTGCTCCAAGCCAACGACGCTCCGGTGCAAGCGATGCAAGAGTGTCAAGTACTGGTCAGTGAGCTCTCGTCCTGCTCTTGATGAAATTCTTGTTTCCTCTTTGATTCATACGTTGCTGCATTGCGCGACGGGCGCTTGATTTTTGCACTAGGGAGTTTTGGTGCTTTGTAGGGGTTGGTACTTAGTATAGTGCCAGTGGACTTATAGTGTGAATTGTTTGTTTTCCCCTAATCATTTTTTTTTGTCCCAAGCGTGTCAGGCTAGTGGCTTACCCCCGACTGCTTATTGTTCCACAAGTTATTTGCTCAGCAAGGATAGGCCGAGGGCAGCATTGCCTCTCTGATACTTGTGTTAGAATTTCTTAAGATAACCTTATTATTTCATCAGTTATTTCATTTCCTAGTGCCTACTTTGGCCCAGCGGAGTTTGAACGTGGATGCTGCTTTCAGATAAAAGTTACATTAGAATTGGCATGCATTAGCAGAATTTTGGCTTGATTTATCGAGTAGCGATTCCCACATTTTGGAAGTTTACGCTGGACAGGTGGTTCAATTCTTGTCTATATTTCTGTACAAGTTCAACAATTCAGCCATTCTACAAAATGACGAGTTAACATTCAAAACCAGTTTCTAGGCAGTTGAGGCTGCCTTTTTTGTCTGTCTATATGTTGCATTGATCTATGCTTCGACATTTTGGGGTTGCAAAGTATTAAGCATGGGTAATTTGAGTTATGCCTAGGTAGTTGTATTTCTCTTCGATTACACTGTCAGTTTTTGTTTGGCAAGACATCTGTGTGATTTTGAGGGTCGGATTACTTATATTTTAGCCAATGTCAACTGTCAATTTGTCCCATTATGAAGTTGGATTTTAATGGAAGACCTTCTTTTCCACCTTTATAGGAGTACCTTGCATGCTACTAGTTCTCCAACTGTCCGAAACAGATATGTGATGCATGGGTCTCCAATGTCTTAAGAATTGCATTTTTTATTTGTTTTCATTTTAAAAAGGCTTAGGTAGGAGCATATCAAATGAAATATTGATTTTTTCAGGTTATTTTTGAGTTACTATATTTCTTGACGAGCAAAATTTCTCTATTTTTCCGGTTTTGTTTGTCTTACAATATTTCTTGTGTTACTATAAGGTGAAGCCTAGGTAATTTATGTTCGCAAGTTCAGTATAGCGATTGGTGCATGCACAAATTGTTCTCGCTCATTGAACTGTGGTGCTTATCACTATAGCGATTGGTGTCAGTTTTATGCTGGACAGATGGTTTGATCATTGTACATTTTTTGTAGTCAAGTTCGACATTTCAGGCAATCTGTACAATCAGGAACGTGTTGTTTCAAAATCTGTTACTAGGAATTACCTTTTATTCTGTCAGTGTTGGTGTGTTGCATTGATGAGCACTTCGACATTATGGGATTAAATAGGATTTAGTATGACTGATTTGATTATGCAGGCAGTTTCATGTCTCCTTCAGATTAGTCAAATAAAATTTCAGAGAGACAATCTTCAAATATGCTGCCAACTTTTGTTTGTTGATAATCTATGATATGTTATATTTAGCCAATATCAACTGCCGATATGTCAAGTAATGAAGTTATATTCGTGACCTCTGTTTGAATCCCTATTTCAATAGGAGACCTCGCTTTTCCACCTTTAGTACCTTGGGTGCTACTTTAATTCTCCAGTGCTCTGAATAGAGATGCAAAATAAATGCATGGGCATTCAATGTCTTAAGAGCCGTGTTTTTTTTTTTCATTGTGCGTTTTTATTCAAGCAAAATTTCACTATAATGTGTTGCTTTAAGATGGCGGCAATTTATGTTCGCAAATTTCCAATAGTGATTAGTGCATGTACAAATTGTTCTCAACATTGAGCTGTGATGCTTATATTAACAATACTTCCATTGAAAGCTATACCCAGCTGCTTGACTAAACGTGAAACCTACCTCTTTAAACTATAATACCGGTGACGTGGATGATTGTAAAATTTACTGATGAAAATAGCTCCAGACTCAGAAGCTCCTGTTTTTGAAACCAGCTCTCTTAGGCATTAGGACTTCTGTTTCACAAATTTGATGCATTCCTCTCTATAATGTAACATACATTATACAGCATCAGGTCTAAGATCGTTAATTCAAAAGGGTACATCTGTAACTTCTTTTTTATGTGTGGAATCAGAGAGTTCTATCGTGTGAATTGTTTTACTTCAGTAACTTCCTTCTTGCAGGTTTGTACTTATTTCCACTCTTTTAAGTAACTTCCTTCTTGTTCGTTGCAGCACCGTCAAATGCCAAATAGATCACTGGAGAAATGGTCACAACGATGAATGCCATCCTCTAGGTCATGGTGCCACACGAGATGATACACCTAAAAATGTGATGGCTGGAACAGAGCTTAAGGATATGCCATTTGAGGCATCCACTACCTATGAAAAATGTGATGGCAATAAAGATATGCTTTATTCTCATTTTACGGGGAAGGCAGAATCTGTTGATTTTTCAAGGCTTTCAACTTCAAGTGAAATTTGCAAAGGTCATGACGGCGCTGTTCGTGAAAACTGTTATCTTACTGCTCATGACCAGCGTGCTGGGTTGGAACCTGAACCGGAGCAATCCAACAAGCAAGCTTTTGGTTCAGAAAACCATGAAAGCTTAAGAAATTTGCCATGCATGCCAGTTGTCGACAAAGTTCCTTCCACTCACAGCGGTGCATATTGTTTGGCAAGTAACCCACTTAAAAGAGAAGATAATCCTCCTGGTCCCTGTGCTAGGCCAGAGAGCTCAGGTGTGATGCCAAATAATCCATCAACAGAGAAGAATTATGCCAGACAACAAACAACTCCAAAAGCTGTGAGGAATTATCCAACAGAATCGGTAAACAGAACTGGGCAGCTCAAATAATCACTAACATATACCTCTATACAATCATATTGCCTAATGATTATCCAAATTTCTCAGACGCTTTTTGCCTACAAAACGTTTTGTTGAGCTCTACAGCTTCAACAAGTTGGAATTTTACCCGCTTGGTCTTTACAACCTTGGGAATAGGTAAGTCATTGATGGATCAGTTATTATTGCATATATGAACCATATTATTTGAGATGTAAAGCCTAACTGAGGTGTGCCCCAATTCCTTTCTATGCCTCATTTGGAGATTGTTAATATCTGCATTGCTTCTGTAATGTTTCCTTAAAACACACTCTGAAACTATTTAATTTGCTTCTTCCATTAAAGTTTGAATGCTGGAATTTTTAACTATATTTTCTCGAACACATTTCATAAACTTCATTGATGTGTTATCCATGAGCTGGGCCATTTATGACTTCATACTGTCGTATTTTTTCATGTACTTCACTTATTGATGTGCTTCATGTCTTCATTGAATATGCATTCTATTCTATATGAACTGTGGGATTCAAATGAATACAAATGAGAAGAAATGAATGAGATGGTGTTGCTGGCTTTTAAAGTGCATTTAATGTCAATGTTTGCATATTCCTAGGTTTTGATTGATCTCATTGCATTAGGAATGGAGCCCATTAGCATTTGTATAGCACAAGATAATAATATAGTTATTGAACCTGAACACACAATATAAACTTAAGGAACATAACCAACCTGGTAGTGCTTCTAGTGCAGGAAACACATCAGGCATGCAGACTGCAGCTCTGTACATCAGTCAGTAATGCTTGAGTTTCCTTGTAAGCTGTATTAATATGAATATGGTTTTATGAATTTGATGTTATCTTAACGTAATTTATCTGTAGCAATGCTTCCTCCACTGTAGCATGGATAAATAGATTGTGGAAGATACATGACTCTAATTTTCTTTTCAGAAAGATTCCATGTAATATAATTTTACAATGACGATAGTTCTATCACGGCACTCTGTTCTACTACTTGTGTTTGTGTATGATTGTACACCATTGGCTGCAATATGATTGTTCCCTACTGAATCCCAAATACCCATGGGAGCTAGCAAATTACACTATACAAATGTTAACACTCCTTTTTTTCTCAAACACACGTTTAACACGCTTTCATTCAAACTGTTTTCACAAGGATAGTTTAAATCATATTAGGCAATTATTATGGAGAAACTGACACCAGAAACACTGATGAAAATCAAACTATCCACATGGGATTGGCACCGGGGGATTAGGAGTTCAAACTGATGCTTCCACAATAATTTATAGTTTAAAGTTTTGAGCCAAAGCAGCTTGGGGATTGAGTTCCAACATGTGTTCTGCATGACACTAGTTTCCAGGCTTCTGTGATAGGCACACTTTATATTCTTTTCTCCCTGTGTTGATTTAAAATTTTGTTCTCCAAAAAAAATCAACTGGTGTCTCTTCTCAGGAGATTGTATATTGTTTGCATTATGTCTAACGAATTATACTGCATCACAGTACTAAACATGTTATAGTAACAAATTTATAATTGAACATGTTAGGCCCTTTATTAAATGGAAATGGTTTGTGGAATTTTAGCGTGGCACTTAATGCTGTTTTCTTTGTCTAACATTTCTACCTTTGTTTCTTTTGCAGCTGCTATGCAAATGCTGTTCTTCAGTGCTTGGCATTTACCCGGCCACTTACGGCATATCTTTTGGAAGGATATCATTCACAAAATTGTAATTTATACTTAACCTGCATTTTATTTGTTACATTCTGTTCTTTGGTTAATAATGTAGCACTTTTGTATTTTTCTAGGTTCTAAAACTGAATGGTGCTTCATGTGTGAGTTGGAAAAGGTCTTGATAGAGGGCAAACATGGAAAATCTCCAGTATCACCTACTGGAATACTATGTCATTTGAATGAGATTGGGGTCAGTTTTGGCCAGGGCAGTGAGGAGGATGCCCATGAATTTCTAAGGTGAGATTTTCTTTTTCACTTAACTGCCTCGGTCACATAGTCAGCATCCAAAATGTGCATGAGAATAGTGATGGCTGATCATGTTACGCTTATTATATTGAATTATTGATGACATTTCACATAATGTCGTTGATTGCATACCTAATCCATGAAAAACTCAGTTGATTTGTTCATGCATAGCACATGGAAAGATTATTTTACCTACTAATATACTATAACTGGGCAACCCTTAAGAGGTATTTTACCAAACATTACTGTTGTTTTCCTGGTCAGTATACTCTTGTGACCTTTGAACAACAAATATTACACACCTGTTTATCGATTGTTGATTTTTTGGTTGCAAAACATATAATATCACTGTGACCGAGAGTATTCTCTAGGGCTATTTATTGAAACTAGAACTGATGTATTCCTTAGCAGCATACTCTGTTCCCTTTGGAAAGGGAACTCTTCATCTTTAATTTTCTTCCCTATAATTTAGTATCTGACTATCTGCAACCGTACCTAAAATTATGAAGCACTGATGAATACTCTGTGTCAATACGTGCACTTGCTGTTTTGCTAACAGGCACATTTGCTAAGTTGGTTATCACACTAGTTCAGATGCTAAAAACTATTGCTGTTCTTTTCAGATATTAGATGGACAATCTAAAACTTACACAACTTATGGAGCACATTTATTCTTTACTGTAAATTTAAACATGAAATGACAACAGAGCACAAATTACCAATTTTTTGGGTTAGCGCTGATGGTGTCATCAATGATATGCTAGTCTGTGTACGTACTTCATACATGTGGATATTCAGTCTTTGCACTGCCAACGTGCTATACAAGGTTTTACTGTTTGACAAACCAATCATGAATGTCTATGACAACATTGCATTATGAAGGAGGCAGGGACAGATGGTGTTAGTTCTTAGTTGGCACAGTAGGTGCGTACCCAGTGCAGAGAGCTCCCGCTCTGTGCGGGGTCTGGGGAAGGGTGTCAGTAGCAAGCCTTACCCTCGCCTGTGCAATACGAGGAGACCGCGACTCGAACCCGGGACCTTCCGGTCACAGGCGGTAAGACTCTACCGCTTGCACCAGGCCCACCCTTCTTAGTTATCACAGTAGGTAAATAAATAAAATATCCTGTTGATTGGGAACGACCTGGCTGACCGAGTGGTTAGTGCAGGCTCCGTACCTCCCCCCTGGGGTGGTCAGAGTTTGAGTCCCAAGGGACTCACTCTTTATTTGTGGCTTCGGCCGCAGTGACCAGGGGGGAAAAAACTCCCTCGTCTACCCCACATCCAAAGCACATGTCTGTGGCCAACTCATCTCACGGAGTTGCGGTGCCGTTGTGTATGGGTGGGGTAGGGGTTCGGGGGTTTTCTCGATCTGCGTGAGAAGATCTTCTTAAGCCGGAATACCCGGGGGTTGTCTAGCCACCGCGGATCGAGTTTTTTTGAAATATCCTGTTGATTGTAAATTGTAAACTGATCTAGCCATACGATAATGTAGCCCTTCTGTAGCAAATACAGTCGTGAATCTTTCATAACAAATATATTATGCTCATAAGTTAGGGAATTCTCTGTTGGGATGGAATGTTGTGATATGGTTGGTTTATTCTTACTAGCATATATGCTCTCGTCATTTACATATGGCCCCTGCAACACCCACCCCCACCCCTATGCCCATATCTGTTCAATGGCACTATAGTATGTTGATTGCATTATATAGGCCAAGTGTCATGGAAATGTCTTTTCTACATCCATAGGTATCTTATTATTTCATGACTACACAGTTGCTCCCCCTCCAAAAAAAAAAAAAAAACTAAATTTCAAATGGAATCTTCTGTTTGGGTTTATAACAATTGCAACCCTGGAACTATTTTGGTCTCTATTTATAACAAAACTGTTTGCTAGTTTGCTGATAGCAAATGATTGATCCAAAACATCCCATTAATTGGTTTTGTTGAATGATTTGGTCAGATCTTCCCACTAGGAATAATGTTTCATGAAACTGCTCTGAGTGATAAGTTTTAACAGGTATGCAATTGATAAGATGCAATCTGGTAGCATGAAGGAAGCCAAGAAAAATGGTATCCAGCAGCTAGCTGAAGAAACAACTCTGGTGCAGTTTATATTTGGGGGTTATCTGCGATCTAAGGTTTTCTTCATGCAGACCACTCAGCCTTTCCATGCCCTACATATTTCTACTGGAGCATTGAATATCTAATGAAAATGCACATTTATATTATTTTTTAACCATTTGTTTTTTTCCTAGATAAAATGCACAAAGTGTCAGGTCAGTTCAAAACAGAGTGAACGTATTTTGGATTTAACTGTTGAAATAGATGGGAATATCAGTACCCTTGACGGTGCACTTCGTCGGTTTACATCTTCAGAAGTTTTAGACGGTGATAATAGGTACCATTGTAGCAGGTTGGTCCCCTCCATAATTTTTTTTGCTTCTCTAAATGCTTACAGTGTGCACTTGTATTTTCATAATGTCGCTTGCATATATCACATTGCACGGTCAAGGGCCTTAATCAGCAACCGATCTTGAACCAAAGTATTGTCAATTTACTTCGCTTATTGTGGGGTTGAGTTTGAAGGGCGGGCCAGGTGCAAGCAGTATAGTCTTACCGCCTGTGACCGGAAGGTCCCGGGTTCGAGTCACGGTCTCCTCGCATTGCACAGGCGAGGGTAAGGCTTGCCACTGACACCCTTCCCCAGACCCCGCACAGAGCGGGAGCTCTCTGCACTGGGTACGCCCCTTTATTGTGGGGTTGAGTTTGGTTATCACTGGGTATCATTACTTGAGATTTATTTGAGAAATGAATACATTAGTTAGCACTGCCTACTCGTTTAATCTGCTTGGCCTAATGATACCTGACCTGATCCTTCTTTTGCTTCTATATACAATCTTCTTGAATTTATTTACTTTCACCAGATGCAATTCGTACGAGCGTGCCCAAAAGAAGTTGACTATATTAGAGGCCCCGAATATATTGACAATTGCACTAAAAAGATATCAGGTACCATTAACACTCTTAGGTTATTTCCTTCACTCTTGACGTATCATGCGCTATTGCTAATTTTTTGTGTCTGCGATGATATTTTCCTGTGTTAAGTTTGGATCAAAATTTATACATCATCATAGTGTTTATTTTCACTGCAAATCCTTTTTTTCCTTGAACAGTCTGGTGTTTTGGGCGAGACCAGCAAGGTTGTCAAGTTCCCAGAGCACTTAAATTTATCCCAGTATATGAGTAGAACAGATGATTCTAGTCCTGTATACAGCTTGTATGCTGTGGTTGTCCACCACAATGTTGCAAATGCAACTGTGTCTGGTCATTATGTATGTTATGTCAAGGATTCCCAAGGGAAGTGGCACGAGACGGATTTATAACAAGGTAAACAATACTTTCTAAACTTGCTTAGTACAGTGTATTGCATACTGGAAGAATTTAAAATGATACCATGTTATAGCATCTATCAATTTTTTCCTTCAATAATTCCCTTTGCCTGCAATTGGTTTTTGATAATCATTGAAGGAATCTTGCATTGGAATCCTCATAAATTTTGATTCATTTTTGTATGAAAAAAAGGCTACTTGTCTGGATACAATTATTTGGTGATGTAAGAACGATAAGCCATGTGCCACTTGAACTAATTTTGTCTGTAGGTGAAACCTGTCTCTATCCAAAAAGTCATGTCAAAATGTGCATACATGCTGCTTTATGCAAGGTAAATACTGTGTTGCTCTCAGTTATTACGACAACTTTATTGTCCTGCATCTCGTTGTATTGATTCTGTTGACCGTCCTAAATTATGTCGTGTTAATTCAAGCAGAATTTCACCGCGTGCCCCAACCGCTGCAAGGGGAGCAATGCTTAGTCAAGGAGCATCATCACGTACTAATAAACCCAAGCAGATGGCACGTTCAGGATCGTTTCCTTCGGGAGGAGGCAGGTACCGGAGCAGCAGGCACCAAGGTGGGCAATTGTCTAAGGATGATGCTGTGCACGACCTTACATACACATTGGGTGCATCTGATAGTTCATCATCGTACCCGGTACCACCGTCCTGCTTCAGTCGCAGCAACAGCTCCTCGCTGTTCAGCAGCTCTGATGCAGGGTCAAGCTGCACTTTCAGCAGCGACAGCACTGATAGTACAAGGAAATCCAGCATGGAGTATGACCACATATTTGGAGCCTCGGGCTACATGTGCCCGGTAAGCCCAGCGGTCATACCCGAGGAAGACAAGCTGAGTTACTTGCGGCAAAAGTCTAGCTGGAACCCTAGCTCTTCAGGTCATGACATGGATGGGGAGGCAGGTAAGTTTGCGCGGCAGTACCAGCGAAGGTATCATCAGTATCAGGCTGGCAGGGGGCTCGTGTAGACTCTGGTGGGGAGACCACATCCTTCTCTTACGCTGATCAAGGTAAATATCAGGGCAGTAGTAGTAGTCGTAACAGTAGTAGTTTCGGTAGTAGTAGCTGTAGATTAACAGAACAGCGGAGGAATACAGGGCCGGCGTTTTTTCTAGAAGGTCGACTAGGAGAGGACTCTCCAAGTATTTTTATTTTACTGATATACAAGGGGCTTGGGCTTGTAGAGAGAGATTAATTATTCATTCATCATGTATGATGATTACACCATTCAATTGCAATTGAAAAAATGGGGGGCGCGGTTCAAACAGGGAGTTGTGTGTCTCGTTTATAGGATCCTTTGGTTGGCATCTGTAGCAAAGTACTCTAACCTGTCAAGGTCGGGCAAAATTCTTTTTCTTTTTTTTTGGCCAAATGGTTTTGAGAAAAGGAGCAGCAGTAGTGTTCGACTTTCTCAACGTCTTCAGCGAATGTGATTTTCTGACCCTGTGCAGATCGGGAGAAAGAAAAGATAAATTCAGAGAACCGTGACAAAAAAAAAAAAAATGCGAAGTGTGCTTTTTGTCACTGTTGGCCTTTTATTTCTGTCGTGTTGTAAACGGTTGGATTAAACACATTTGGAAGGCGCTGAACATGTTGAGCACTATCTGACTTTATTTCTTGACTTGAAATTTGGGCAAAAAAAAGAGTCAGTATATTGCACAACGTTGCAGGTTCAGGGATTTGCACTAGGTACTGATTAATCACCCCAAAGAAACTCGTATTTCTCTGCTACCGTCGTGATCTCCTTCAGTTTAGGTCAGGTCTGCATGTTGATTGAACCTATAGGAACGAGGATCATCACTATCAGCCCATCAGTGAAACCTTTCACTAGATGGGCTTGACTGTATACTCTAAACCTGTTCAGCCCGACTGAAGCAGGCCGGAGGAGTCTCTGAAGAAGTCCTTTCGTTTCATTTGCATTGCATGCAATGTCACTTCAGCCCGACTGAAACAGGCTGGAGTCTGGGAAGAAGGCCTTTCGTTTCATCTGCATGCATGTCACTTCAAAGCTCTAACGTTCATCTTTCTTTGTTCTTTCTGTTCAGAAAGAAAACATGCTGTAGGCAAATCTGTGCTCTAACACGTTAGGGCCCTTTTCTGCGAACAGCTTAAGACCAAGTGTTTCAACATTTAAGTTGCCAGTTCCATACATGATGCATGCATGACACTTTTTAAGCTGCCAGTTCCTATAAAACTAGTTTAAACAATATTACATTCACGTCCAAACATTTGCTTAGGTTAGGCATTTAGATCTTTATAAACATGTGAACATTTTATCACTCCAAAGCTCTAACATCCGTTTATCTTTTTACTAAAAATATAAAACCTTCAAAATATTTCTAAAAACTAAAACTTAATTGTTTTTTTTTTTCGAAAATGTCAAGATTAATTTTTTAATTGACGTACTTGTGGCCTCTGTACTTACCAGGAATGCATAAGAGTTGAGCCCTGGTGTGGAGTCATCAGTCATGCATCTACAACTGCATACCACCACACAAAACATGCATGGCCCTTTCCAAATTTTCCAACCAAATTCATGTGATGTCCATGTCTGGATATCTCCTTTTTTTAGCTACCATAATTTGAATAGATGTTGCATTTGCATTCTCAAATTTGTTTAATAATGCACAATTACATCTGTACTCTGTGAGCATCTCGAACTCTAAAGTTGTCAACATGTTGTTTACATCTCAAAACCTATCAACATATAGACACTTTGGTCCACAAAATAAAAATATTTTTACACTTAGATCCAAAGTAAAGAAAATAATTTGACATTGTTTGACCCTAAAATAAAATTAAATTGCCATTTTTCATTTTATCTTGTTTTGTGTCATGGGTGGTTAATTATGATAAAGCCCTTTTTGTTTAAAATGCAAAACTATTCTTTTTACAGTGCCATTCACAGATGATTCAACAAATTTGATTTTCTGGATTTGACATGCAATTGCTATGCTAACTACTGCAACTTTCAAAAGCCTTTTGCATTGCAACATGCCAGAAAAAATGTTTTTAAATATACTTATATACAAAAAATCGAATGGTACATTTTTTAATGACTAGTTTTCAAATGCAGTGATGAAGATTTATGTTGTTAAAATTCTCACACACCATATTTAGCATTTAGGAAAGTGGTATTCAACAGCCAATAATGTTAAGTTTCATCTTTGCAATGTCTTGGTGTGAGGACAAGCTCATATATATCAAAAGCATGCATGTGTCATCTTAGTATTCATGGAATCAACCTAGTTGAACTTTGAGCAACTTTTTTTATATTGAATTCAAGATTGGCCATGTGAAAAATGATTTCAGTTTGTTGAAAATAATCTTGGAAATTGTACAAATAATTTTGAAAACGATTTTTTCCTTGGTGCAATAATAAGTTTTTTTACATCTTGCTGCCCAAACTGATAATGTAAATACATCAGTGGAAAGCACTTTTTTGTGCACATGTGACGTGTGCTTGTTTGGGCACGAGGGGGGGTTTGAACATTACATCCCATTGTGAGCAAAGGGTACAATTCTTTTACCTTACCAGCGTGATACATAGATTTTCATGATTTTGAAAAGGAAACCAGTAAATATATACATCCCATTGGTCCCCTCAAAATTTCTGCCAAGTACCGTTCTCCAGTTCTAGTCCCTTTATTTTCAACCTTTCATGCATGACAGATATGTGTAGGGAAAATTTTGATTACGTACTTTGCTTGATCCATGGTTGTCTGCAAGGAACCTTTGTCCTTCTTCTTTTAATTTCTTATTTATAATGGCCTAAATTCTGCATGTTTTAAGTAAACATTGATATAATGCATAGCTAACAAGGTGAATGACTTTGCCAGTGATCTTATGGGTTATGAAGATGGAATAATTCGGTTCAATAATCTAGATATTTACCAATAAGTTTGGTCGGAGTTGGATCCAATGATTGTAGGACCAGCATTATTCCTTTTCTTTAAAACTGATCAAACCTTTTAGCCGTGATCTCTTGGTTGCATGGAATTCTTCACAGTACAACCCCAGTTATTTCATGTGAACTCCCTTGCTGAGTAATGCTAGCTTTTTTATCTAGCATATTCCTCTTACTGTATATAGGTTTTGTTAGTTCTGTTAGGTGATCATATTATTTGAAAAACTGAACATTATTTGTCCCTTAATTTATTCCTCAAACACATCACCATTTATAATGCCCAAAAATCTGGCTTTTGTGTTTCGTTATGACCACCAGTATGCATATACTATGTTTATATTGTCACACTAAAATTATACTACTGGACATGTGCTCCAAAATAAATGATGATAAGTACTGTGAACATGTAGTGGATATCTGTGGATGTAAAAGTGTTCCTATAGTATTCTCTTGTGTTTTTTTATTCTGTAACTAGCTTATTGATATAAGAAACATCATGAATGGTGAAAACCTGCTTGCTTAGAAAGCTAGACGTCAAAGGCTTAACCTACTTTGTTAAGTCCAGACTGGAGAGTGCTAGGGTTGTGTGAGGGGGTTAAACTAATAGAGCCAACAACACAAGGGCTTTTATATATCATGTGTGGCACTTCTTCTGTTATACTGTACATCTCTCTCTCTCTCTCTCTCTCTCTCTCTCTCTCTCTCGCTCGCTCGCTTTTACTTCAACCAAATTTCATGGATATACCTCTTTCCAGTATGTCTGTGGTTACAGTAAATTCATTAACGTCTTTAGTTCTTTCTTTCAAAAGTTTATGAGGAAGCTAAGCCTAATGTTTTGCAGGTGGGCTTTATCCAATCTGGGAAGAGTAGACGGGGAGAGTTATGAAGCCATGCATGCAGTGATGCAGAGAGCTGGAGGCCTACCGTCGTCAGGGTCGAACCGTTGAAGGGTGCATGCTTGTTCTTCCTCCACCGCGCAACTTGAATACAAACTGAATCATCCTCGAGAAACATACTTCGATCAAAACTCAGGGGCAGAATAATGCCCAGACTGATGAGCAGACGTTTCGATGACATGGGCGGTGCCCATCGTGCTTTCTTTTTTCTCTGATAGTTTTTTGAACACCTTTTTCTCTGATGCATGCATGGCAAGATATTGGTTGCTATGGTTGCTGGTTGTAAACTTTGTGGAGTACTCCTAAGGGGAAGTTAAACTTTTGACCGTGACAGTTGTGGTCTCACTGTGATTCTATGTAGTAAACTGTAGACTCACCCCCTTCCCCTTTTAGGCCTGGTCAAGAGATACTCCTATGGTCCTACCTGCCGTTGTGTGCACTGTGGCAGCCGCCCACCAGATGACGAGACGGCCAGACCATGTGAGGACCAGCCTGCGGCTGTGTTCAGGTGAGCAAATGCATGCAACTCCACGCGCCGTGCACTGTGCCGCCAGCAGTCTGCCTGTGACCCTCCCTGTGGCTGTGTGCCTGTCAGCCTGTGTGCGGTGTGCCAGGCTGCCAGCTCCAAGCTCCCAGCAGCTGCTACAGGCAGGCTGCAGCCTCCAGCGCAGCGCACACAGCCAGGTTGCGCCACGGCCACGGCCTCCTGATGGCGAGGGCTAGGCAGGCTACGGCGCGAGTAGGCCTGCGGCATGGGCGCAGACACGATAAGCCGGTGGGGGCAGTCCGATAAGCTCCGACGGCGCTGGCCGATCCATCGCGTCCGTCGCCGGTGCTGGGCAGGGCCGGCCGGCATTCATGATTCAGGGCCGGCCGGTTGCGTTCCGCTACAGCATCCGCTTCTACCCAAACTATTTTTAGGGACAGCTCGTAACACTTTGTAAGAATGGTTTGGCCAGTCGCCTCTACCCAATCGTCTCTATAAATTATGCATTAAAAATCAATTTGTAGGGGCGGCTCGTATTACTAGCTGTCCCTAATGATCGATTTGTGGGGGCGGCTGTAGTACCAGCCGCCCCTAGTACCAGCCGCCTCTATAATATCTGTTTATAGGGGCGGTTCAATATAGAACCGCCTCTACAGTACGTTTTTTCGCAAAAAAATT